CGTGGCCGAGTAGATAGCGTGGCGGACCGTGGCTCAGGACTTCGCATCTCGTTGTTACTAAAGAAAAAAAAAAATTACGTTCTGCCTTTTAATGTCGCGAATGCGATGGAGTAGCCCAATAGTTGGCGGTGGGAGACGTTGACTAGCTGCCTTTCCTTTATTAAACTGAGTAACAGATATCAGAAACAAACCAAACCAGTTATCATTTCCTTTTATGTCATTACAGGTTACAAACAGTAGGTGGACGTGCCTAAGATGACATCAAAAATAGAAACAAAGGAAGGCGTGTTTTAATATCAAAGAAATTGAATTTTCAATTTGAATTCTTTGGCACACATTTCGTGTCGATAATTTTGTTAAAACTCGGGTCATTGACCATTTCCATTGTTAAGAAATATAAAACGTGTTATTTGGTTCGCTGTTATTAACATATATGGAAATAAATTCATTCTATTGTTTTGTTTGTTTTTTTGAAGTTTAAGCACAAAGCTACACAATGGCTATCTGCGCTCTGCCCACCACGGGTATCGAGCACCGGATTTTAGCGTTGTAAAATTTTAGTCTGTTCAGAAACTGGATTGCAGAAAAAAAAAATAAGTAAGGGTAGTATTACAAATAAAACATTCTTTACCTGTCATTATATTTCATTTGTTCATACGTTTTCGTTATATACTCAAAAAAGTGATTTCTAACAGACTTGTACGACATTTAGGCTTATGTTATGTTTTATTACCAACACTTTTAGTTTGATCAAGGAAAGCCTGTTCACTTTCTTATTTTGTGTGCATATATATATATATGTCATGGAAAACGGGTGTGAACCTGAGTAGTGATGACCCCAGCCATCATGGTCGACTTCTTGTTGGACTTGAATATACAGTACATATAATCTGACAAAAGAGTTTGTTCTATTTTTTTAAGTCCATCGAGAAACAGGGATGTTGAAAAAACCCAAGAAATCTTAAACACTATACTTGTGGTGTAAAGTGACCCAATTTCAGCTTTGTCCTCGTTTCATTGTTACAGGGTGGTGTATTATGAAATTCAGCCTTTATTTTTCTAATAAATTCCTTACCTATCCTGTTAAGTTCTACTTTTTCAACAAAACACCTTTATTCTCTGTTCTTGCACTCTGATCTGTTAAACTTCATTTTAACAACTATATATGGTAGACAACCCTAAAATATTATACCCATTTTCTTTATGACAATGTTTGTGTAATAATCAGGGCCACAGTTAAAAAGTAATAACTGTTTGTGTAATAATCGAGGCCACAGTTAAAAAGTAATAATCGAGGCCACAGTTAAAAGTAATAACTGTTTGTGTAATAATCGAGGCCACAGTTAAAAGTAATAACTGTTTGTGTAATAATCGAGGCCACAGTTAAAAGTAATAACTGTTTGTGTAATAATCGAGGCC